TGGATTATTTTTCTATAACTCATCACAAATCTCTTCCTGTCTGTGTGTCAGAGCTGCAGACGTCAGTGGACGGTCTGCTGGCTGAGAAGCTGCAGCTGGAGCAACAAGTGGAAGATCTGACCAAAGAACAGGTGCAACTCAGAGAGCAGGTACATTACTGTGTGTGTGTGTGTGTGTGTGTGTGTGGGTGTGGGTGTGTGTGTGTCTACGGTATCACATATGTTTTTCTCTCAGCTAGCTCTGGAGATTGAGGAGAAAGAGGCCATACTGAGGAAAATAAGCAAACAGAGCAAGACCATCAATAAAATCAAACGAGGTGAGTCTTCATCACATTCAAATAATTATTATTTAAATTATTGATTATCTTAATTTTTATCTATACATTTTTTTACACAAATAATTAAATCATTATTTAATCTAGGAAATGTAAAAAAAATCTGAAAAATGTAATATCACCCAAACTAAATTAAGTGACTTGAGTGTGTAAATATTTGACAGTTTCTGCTTCATAAAATGTGTTCAATCTTCTGCAGGTTGACTAATTTATGAAGCAATGAATCATTTAAGTTCTACATTTCATTTTCACTTCAGAAACATAACGAAAGTCATGAATACGATCGTAAATAGCACTTAATTTGTGTGTGTGTGTGTGTTTTTGTGTGTATGAATACATGCAGTCTCCCAGCTTGTCACAGAGGAGTTCACAGAGATGTCTCAGAAGCTGGAGCTGGAGCAGGGCCTCCGGCAGCACGCTGAAGTCTTCGCCCACCAGGTGTGAGCACGTGGCATGTGTGTGTGTCTATGTGTGTGTACATGTGTATTTTTTTCTGCACGGCACAAAACATTTTGTCATACATTCACACCTATAGATAGTGAGGGTGACAGGTCGTGCCACAGGAAGCGAGCAGGAGTGTTGGCGCTGACCTTCGGGCAGCTACGGCGAACACACGGACACTCTCTGGAAAGGGGGGAGGAAAGGGACACACACACACAAACACACACACACTTCTTGCTGTCAGGGTGCAACTGATGTGGCGGGACAGGAGAAGGGGTCTCCATTCTCTGTTTTCACACCCATGACAATTTGGTCGAATCTGGGCTCTCTGTGTGAGGCGAGGCGTTCACACACACAAGACAAAAGCAGACACACTTGTACACATGCGGGAGAAAACACCAATTCTCTTAAAATCCACATACCCAAACACACACACACACACAGTTTTTTTGCTGCCCCAGCTGCTCCTATAATGAAGGCCTTTTCTTTCAAAAAACATCTCTCTGTTCCCTTCCCTTCCCATTTAGCCCCCCCCTTCCCCATAATTAGTGGTCATCACTGCTGCTGAAGGAGAATAGTGGTCTTTAAGCACAACCTGTCTTTGCCTGACACCTTTATGTTTTCCCGAGCATATAGCAATTGTCGCCTTTGTGCACGTTGTCCTCCATTTACCGGACAGGCGCACAATGGGCTTCCTCGCAGGGGTCCTTACCTGTGAAAAGGACCCCCAACTGTTCACACAATTCAGCCCCTTTACTCTCAATTCATGGTAAAAGACCCCCTGCGCTGAATGCCTCTTGTATGCACTACTATTTGTCTGTTTTCATGTGTTTTGAAAACACCAACCATTCACACCTCTCCTCTGTGATGCATGGTGGTATAATGATGCAGGGCCTCAAACAGGAAACAATTTGGAGGTTTTTTTTTTGTGTGTGTGTGTGTGTGTGTCTTTGTCTCTTTGTGTAGCGGTGTGTGGTTGGATCTGTGTGTTTATATGTATGCAATAATTGTGCTAATTGCTGTGTGAAAATTGCTTTCTGCTTAAGGGAGACCAGAGATTAGAGCAGTGTAATTTTCAGCGTGGAGCCTCGTGCTGCATGCGCTGATACAGAGCTCACCAAACCTGCTGCTTCGGTTTGTCGTCACGGTGAAAACACAGAAATGAAAACCATTATTTTCCACACACTTCCTGTTCTCCGATCACGGATCTGCTGTCAAAAAGCGCCCATATAATCTGATACAGTTTATGAATCCAATATGAGCAGAATACACCAGACCAGAATTACACATAAATTAGGTCAAATGTAAGGCTGATATAGTCAATATATATATATAAAAAAGTCTCTATCTGAAAATATAAAATACAATTAAAAAACACTTTTGTTGGTCACATTTTCAGGTGCATCACTCTCTATATTATAGACACTGGGGGTTGAGAGGGGAACAAATAGAAATAAATTCTAAATAAATAGGAAATAACATTTTCTTAGTATTGGGGGGACACATCTAACTAGTTTACCTTTGCGGATTAATAAAGTTATCTAATTTTATCTGTCCCTACAGGATTTCGCAGGCTTTTTGTTGGAATTGTCATGGACTAAAATGCCTGATTTCACAGCAGTTTTTTAAAAAAAAATTGCGATGCATATTGCAACAGTTTAGGGGTTTTTTTGCAATTAAATTTCAGGATTATTTGTATAATTCATTAAAAATTGAAGACTAGTTGTTCCAGTGAGAATAAAACAGTAGATTGGTGACATCTTACTGATCAATACCCACGTTTTACCTCCATATAAGGTATTAAACATTCCACAAGCTCATGCAAAGAGCAACAGGTTTGTTTATCGTATTCTGATCATTTATGACCTCTAAACCACACTTATTAACTATAGCTGGTGTATTTATTTGTCACACTAGAAAGAAGAAAGAATCACATTTTGCACTAGTAAATCAAGGCAAAGTTTGACCTTTTTTCATTTTTCAACACAAACCACTTATCATAATGTTGTAGAAATGATGCTTTGTCTCACAACTAAATCATCCTGTTTGCATTGTTACTATCCATCAGTGAAGCCGATGAGTAATTCTAACAAGGCTTCCAAGTCATTGTTCAGTCAAACACTGGTTTGAAAACATTTTGTCTGCCTTTTGACAACCTCCTGGGGGAGAAAATTAACAAGCAGCCATTCAGATCTCACTTTATTCTTCCTCTTAATTGTAGTTCATTGTCACAAATGTATTTTCTTTTTACATTTTTTGTAGAAGCACATGATCATGAAGATGTGTTTAAGATGTCAGGAAGTGAAGCTAGATTTGTTTTTTGTCTTGTCAGATGATAGTGCAGCAGAAAGAGGCCCAGAGTCCGAGCGTGTTGCTGATGCCAAGCTCAGAGACCGGCCTGCAGCTGCAGCAGGCGCTGGAGCAAATCTCCACCATCAGCACAGCCCTGTGTGATATACAGCGCACCTACCAGGACCAGGTGTGTTGTAGATGTGCTAAAAGATAAAAAAAAATAAAGAATATCCACTACTGTCTATTCATGCTCGTCATCATCGTCCCCTATTTCTTTCATCCCTGTATGCAGGTGAAACAGAGTCAGAGCGCCGTGGAAGAGAGCAGCGTCCTCTCTGAGCTGCAGAACCTGAAAGAGCAACTGGAGAAGAGTAAGGAGGAGAGGAAGGCCCTAGAAGATAAGCTGTCTGAGGCTAATGGCACTGTCACACAGCTCCAGGAGGAAGGTAGCTGCCAGTGGAATAATATATTTCTTAGCAAGCACGCCTAACAAAAGCGATGGCTGAATGTTGAAGCCTTATGATTCAAGCTCCTCTACTGGCTTCTAAATGTCGACTCCAAAATACTCTGCATGCAAAAATACCTAAGAAATGTGTTTTGGTGGCCATTTTGAAAAATATTGTTCAGTTAAGAAGAGATTAAAGCTTAATAATAGCTTTGTTTGGAGGTATGTAAAAAGGTGCAAATCTTTACATTGATGAAGCTGGAAGAAAGAAATTGCCAATTCATTTTCTGTTAATTGACTAATTGATTAATTCTTTCAGCTCTAGTTCTTGTATAAACTGTTGGGTAGTTTAATTGATAACAAAGTCAGATTAAATATCAATTGAATGATTAAATAATTAATGAGTAGTCAGATAATGACAGTGGAGAAAAGAAGTATAAAGTGGCATAACATGGAAATTAAGTACAAGTACTTAAGTAAATGTACTTTTGTTTCATTCCACTGCTGATTGATGACATTTCTTCATCCCCCTGACTCTAAATCCAACATTGTTTGTACATTTTATAAGTAACAATGTACTGATGATCAAAGGTAATGTTTTGCTGTCTTCCTCTGTAGTGAAACAGCTACAAGATACACTGACCAAGGAAAGTAAAACTGATGAACCAGAGGAGAAATCCACTCCTCCTCCTCCTCCTCC